ACGCCCTTCTATAAAGATAAGACGATTAACGACTCTACATAAGACTAAGATAATAAGACGCTAGGTTATTACTAAGAGAGGAAGATTAACTACACCTACCCATTACCACTATTAACGCCGCCACTAGTAACCCTACTAGCGTAACTCTTCTCTAATAAAAGTGTACCACTAGTTGTATGTAATTAGCAATTAACTATTACTCTAGTGACTACGAAAACTACGCCATGGGTAGCCACCTTTATGGTAGGTACCTAGGTAGGTCGCGTGGGCAATTATTAGGGCAAACACCTTAATAAGGCGCAGATTAGACGACTGTTAACCAAGGGCATTAAGCCTTATAGAAGCGAGTTGCCTCTACTTCCTATAGTGGGCACATAACTTGACAATCATCCTATATATAATAAGTTTAAGGAGGCTAAGCACGTACATCTTACCAGCCATTATAAGATAAAATTATGGATTAAGATTTAATAGAGGCCAATTAAATAGGTAGGCTTGTCAGATTCACACAGTGATTTAATGGATGTCAGTGATCTAGAGATGAGATCGGTTCATTATTCGGTGTGTTGGCCGAGGTTCTATCTAGGGCGCCCTTTTGTGTGGGTCTTGGTAGATAACCTATCCTAGCCCTATTTCGGCCAAGTCTTAATATCCTGCCTCCGGCCTCCGCCCCAGCCATCTAATAACAACACTAAGATACTCAGAACACGCCCTCATATCTAACACACCCCCTTAGCTCGGTGCGATATCGCTCCCTAAGCTGATTAATTGGGCGATTAATCGTTAGAGTACTCGGTAAAGGTAGTCCTATATCTCGTTAAGTGGTACAGTTCTTGTCACCTCTATACTTATTACGTTAATAAGACCTAGTTAATCGAGCAGGCCTTGCCATTTATTAGCCGGCAACACCTTGGTGAGTCCATTGGCAATCATATCGTCCAATCTAATATACTTAATGGTGATTATTCTAGCGGCGACCTCTTGTCTTAGCCAGTGGGTGTGGATATCCACATGTCGAAGCTTAGTCTGGAGTTTTGATACTTCCTAGGTTACCAGCCGAATTGTCTATTTAT